CTGAGGCGGGAGAATGGCATGAACCCGGGAGGCGGAGCTTGCAGTGAGCCGAGATCACGCCACTGCACTCCAGCCTGGGAGACACAACAAGACTCCGTCTCAAAAAAAAAAAAAAAAAGATGCTACTCAAATGTGTGTGTGTGAATGGAACATTTACTTAGGTAATTTAAAATAATATTAATTTAAATACCTCATCTTCAAAAATTCTAAATTTAGTTTCCTTTATACGGAATTTTAATGTACAAAGTATTATTAATTTTTGAACAAGTATAATCAAAAAAATATAATACTCACTTGAAGGAAATTTTCTACCCTTATCACTCTAGGTTTCCCTGAAAACATCTAAGAGAAGCTCTCTATCATATACAGAATCTATACCTATTTGTCCCATGCACAAAACTATATGTCTCTAAAAGTTAGCAAAGAGAATGTTACACACATCGCCAAAAATATTTTCTGCTACTATTTTCCAAAGTCACAAGTCACTGTTATTACATGGTAACCTGTAACCTAGAGAACACAACATCACCAGTTTTTTTCCCATTTAACACTCCTCAAATAATTATAACTTCAGGAGTACTAACTGCCTCCGGAATTATGTGCACAATTAAAATTACCAGTCAAACAATTCAAGGCAGGAAAAACCCCCACCATTTTCGATCAAACAGCAGGCCCTGATGAAACCATAATAAAAGGTCAATCTTCGCCAAACAAGACTCAAGGTCTCTCACTTCATTAAACAGCTAAAAGTAAATATATTTACCCAGTACAACAAGTATTTGGGTTTTTACTAACCTTGAAGAACATTTTACTAGAGTCAATAGTTGGCTATAAAGATATTTATAAGCAGTTCTTTCCTTTTCCTGTAACTTGGGAAATTAATGTGGTTAAATTAGTTTTTAAAAATCAATAAATCCTAGTAGAAGACAGAGCTAATCAAAGTGATGATCAAAAATATTTCTCATGGAGCAAAATGGAAAGCCTAAAAATCTGTATAACAATAATCTAAAAAGCTAGCTGTATAATAATATAAGCAAAAATACTTGAAACCTACATTTTTCCTAAATCTGTTTTTCATTGCTTATAAAGCACTATGCAACAGAAATAAAATACAAGCCACATATAAAATTTCAAATTTTCTCATAGCCACATTTTTAAAAGTAGAAAGAAAGAAGTGAAATTAATTTTAACCATATATTTTATCTAACCCAATAGATCCAAATTAGCATTTCAAAATGGGATCAATAACAAAAAATTAACAAGGTAGTTTACCTTTTTTGTGTAGGAAGTCTTTGAAATTTGTGTTTTTAAAATAAATTTTATTGTATATATCTAAAGTATACAACATGATATTAGGGGATATATAGATAGTAAAATAAATACTAGAGTGAAGCAAATTAACATATCCATCATCTCACATAGTTACTCATTTTATTTTTGTGGCAAGAGCAACTAAAATGTACTAATTTAGCAGGAATCCCAAATACAGTACAACTTTATTAACTATAGTCCTCATGTTATACATTAGATCTCTGGACTTGTTCATCCCATGTATCTGCTACTTTGTAACCTCTAATCAATATCTCCCCATGTCCTCCTCAACCCCCGCAACCACTGTTGCATTCTCTATTGACTTTTTTTTAAGAGTTTGCATTATAAGTGAGATCACGCAATATTGTTCCTTCTGTGCCTGACATTTCTCTTAACATAATGTCCGCCGGGTTCATACATGCTGTGGCAAATGACAGAACCTCCTTTTTTTTTAAGCCAAATAATATTCCATGATTACATATACCACAATTCCTTCATCCATCCACCGTCTGACGCTTAGGTTGTTTCCGTATCTTGGCTTTGTGCATAATGCTGCAATGAATATGGGAGTGCAGATAACTTTCTGAGGTAGTGATTTCATTTCCTTTAGGTATATGCCCAGAAGAGAGACTGCTGGGTCATATGGCGGTTTTATTTTTAATTCCACTGGGCTCCTCTATGCTGTTTTCCATAATGGCTGCACCAATCTACATTACCACCAATGGTGTTACAGGTTCCCTTTTCTGCACACTGTGAATAACATTTGTTATCCCTTTATTCTTTAATGATAGCCATCCTAACGAGTGAGGTGTTATTGCATACTGGTTTTGATTTGCATTTCCCTAAGGATTAATGATATTAAACACTTTTTCATATACCTGTTGGCCACTTTTATGCATTCTTTGGAGAAATGTCTCTTCAGGTCCTTTACCCATTTTTAAATTTGACTGTTTTTCTATTGAATTGTATGAATTATTCACACATTTTAGATATCAACCTCTTATCAAATATATGATTTGCAAATTTTGTCCCAATCTGTAGGTTGTCATTTCATTTTGTTGACTGTTTCCTTTGCTGTGTGAAATCTGTGTGTATTTCACATTTACAGCATTCTCAATTCAGACTAAGCACATTTCAAGTGCTCCACAGCCACAAATAACTAGTAGTTCCCATAATGGATGACACAAATCCATAACATAAGTGAGCCAAATATCATTCCCAAATTTCTAAAGCTCAATTACAAAATCAATAGAAAGCCCTAAGTAAGTAAACAAATACAAAATGTCTTTAAAGGCAGATGTAGGCTTATAATAGAGTCAAAACATAAGAATAACAATTAATACTTATTGAGCATTTACTATTTTAGATCCTAAGTCAGACCCTATTTTAAATGCTTTTCAAGAATTATCTCATTTGACTATCACAAAAGGCTGCTGATGCAGGTACTAGTGATGTCTCCATTTTACATAGAAGTAAACTAAAACACAAGGAAAGTTAAGTAAAGATTTAACCAAGGCCATGCTTTTAAACAGTACACATGCTGTGCCACAAGAAAAATGCCAATAGAACCAAAGGTTGTTTTTAAAATCAGAATACAGAACATAAGAAAAGATAGTATGCAATAATGAAAAAAAAATCCTATCTTTTGGAATTAACAGGTTTTTTTAAACTGAATCATGTCATATGATACTTTTCCACAAGAAGCTCCAATCTCTAGATAAACAATACAGTTTTAGATTAGAATTTTTACTTTTAAACTATTACACAAATATTGGGAATACTCATTCTATTTTATGGAATGAGGTAATGCCCAATTCTATTACACACACACACACATTTTATTTAACCTTATACTGGTAATATAAAACAAAAATATTTATGACCCAATATTGAAAAGTATGGTTCTAGCCTAAAGTAAAGAGTAACGAAAGTATTACTTTAAGGTCAAGGATTTTCCAGTAGAATATTAATTTGAAAAAGCTGCACTTCTCTTTTTTGAAACTCATATATTTGTGATTTTATTATGCCAATCTTATTATGGACTTTTTTTAACAGTCTCATTCTCTTGTATGAAGGAAAAGGCTTATCTTCCTCCCATTCACCTATCATTTCAAACAATAAAGTATGAAAAGATAAAACAGGCAATAAAGCAAGCTTCTTCCCCACATCTCAATTCTAAGAAAAAAATAGAATAATGCACAATACTGAACACCACCTTAGATAGGTACATCATACCCCAAGATTTTTAGCTAAAACAAGAGGACAATGTTTACTTTCACATGTATATGCTACCAGCAAACGACACGAACACTGCCTAATGTTCATAAAAAGTTTTCAGATAAAAAGCTGGACATCTCTTCAGAAAGTAACATTCAAATATTGCTCATCTTAACGGATGACTAGATACAGAAAGAAAAAAATTGCTTGTCTGAAATAAACAGTCCAATGTGAAAGAAACTGTGATCAGAACTTAAATTATCTGACCTTTTTGTTTACTTAAAATCACCAGATAACAACAGCCTTGATCCACAGTTGAAGGCCATGGCTGGCTGCACACTAACTTTGACGTTTTTCAGGGTGTCACTGGAAAGCCTAATCACACCACCTTCAGTTACATAATAAACCTATCACCATACTGTTCTTACTCTCCCCTCCCACATGTTCAAAACTTCACAAAGGTAGCCAGAGCTAAGAGGAGAGCCTCTCAATTTAAGGGTTCGTTTACACAATGTGCCTGAGCAGATATTTAGCAACAGCATGAGAAAGTTAAGAGTCAGTCACCTGCCCATAACAAAGAAACGTCTCAGTTTAGGAAAAATTTCCCAAAAAATATGCTCACATCACTTACACTTTGTCTTTAATATTTTGAACAATTTCATCAGCAAATGTTTCACATAACTTACAAAGTTCACCTATGGACTTGGTTTTTCTTTTTATTTTTTCCTTTGGACTGCCTACTCAATGTGTCAGGCACTGGGTCTGGCCCTTTCATGTACATCATCCCGTATTATTCTGGTTATGGTCTCCTCCAAGGGTTAACAATGTTACAATCGAAATGACTTCACCACTAACTTATCTGAGCTTTTCTTCTAGGATGACAATATAACTCTGGGATCCTTACATAAAAGAACAGTATTCATGAAACAATTATTTACACAACAAAATATTTCAGATTAGCACATAATTATTTATAAATGTCCTTTGCACTTTGATTACTCTTAAAACAGATCTAACAGAACTAAATTTAAGTACAAAACAATGTTCTTTAAAAAACCCAATACTTTAATTTTCAGTGTCACCAGAGAATACAAGGAATTCAACATCAGTGCTAAATAATAAATCACAAATGTGAGTAATCACTCTACACTTAGATTATTGACTTTGGCCTGCCGGATAAAAAGCTTACATTAAAAAAGCAGTTCTAAAACAACCCAATACTATTTTAATATGTGATTCAAGATTAAGCTTCAATTTATATGATTCAGTACGAGCACTTAAAAAAAATTCCAAGAGCCAATTTCCCTGTAATTGGTCCTTAATCCACAGGAAATGCCAAAGATGATCCTAGCCTTCCCTGATAAATATAACTCAACAAAGCAAAAAGGCAGTAGAAATTCCATTCAAAGTGAAGGAGGTACATTTAGACACCAACAAAAAACTCAAGAACATAACACACAATGCAACCTTACCTGTTTCTGAAATGTATGTAACAGGATCCTGCCGTGAAATTTTACCAGGTTTAGAAGATACTGGCGGTTTTTCTGGTTGCTTTTTGGCATTTTTTACCTGCAACATCTCCTCTGACTCTGAATCTGTATGTGAGAGAAAAATAAAATGAAACTTGGAAAAGAACTATTATAATACAGTGCATTTTTAAAGTAGTCATGGTGAACCAATTCCTCAAGGTCTTTTTCAAGGCACATGTCTTCTGTGAATTCTCACAGGTTACTTTTACTCAGTGTTAAGACTATGTATTAGTTTCCTATTCCAGCTATAATAAATAGCCACAAACTTAGTGGCTTAAAACAACTAAGCCACTAAATTTATTATCTTCCAGTTTTGGAGGTTAGACAGACGGTAAATATGGGTCTCATTGGCCCAGTCAAGGTACCAGTAGGGCTATGTTCCTTTCTGGATACTCTAAGAAAGAATTTTATTTGCCTTTTCCAATCTCTAGTGGATGCCAGCATTTCCTGGCTCAAGGACCCTTCCTGCATCTTCAAAGCCAGCAGCATCAAGCGAAAGTTCTCATGTTGCCATCTCCTGGGTCCTCTAACCTTCCTCCACAGTTAATCTCACTCTCGAAACCCTTTTTCTGCCTCCCTATTCCTTGTGACTACACTGAGCCCACCCAGATAATCCAGCATAATGTCCCTATTTTATTTTTCTTTTTTGAGACAGAGTCTCACTCTGTTGCCCAAGCTGGAGTGCAGTGGAGTGATCTCAGCTCACTGCAACCTCTGCCTTCCGGGTTCAAGTGATTCTCCTGCCTCAGACTCCTCAGCAGCTGGGACTACAGGCACGTGCCACCACACCAGTTAATTTTTGTATTTTTAGTAGAGATGGCGTTTTACTATGTTGGCCAGGCTGGTCTGGAACTCCTGACTGACCTCAAGTGATCCACCCGCCTCAGCCTCCAAAAGTGCTGGGACTACAGGCAAGAGCCACCACGCCTGACCTAATCTCCCTACTTTTAAGGTCATCTGATTAGCCATCTTAACACCATCTGTAACTTTTACTTACCTTTCCCATATAACCTAATATAGTCACAGGTTCTAAGAATTAGGCTGTGGATATCTTTTGGGGCCATTATTCTGTTTACCACAGCCTAATCTCCCAGGGCACTTAAATAAAAGTCAGAAAAAAAGTGTGAGTACCTGGCATAGTGCCTGGTACAAAATAGATGTTTCATAAACTTTAGTGTCCTTCCTCTTCCCTTGCACCACGCATTTATAAATCCTGTCACACTGTAGTAAACTATATCAAACACATTTCCAGTTTCCCAACAAACAAAACTCCTGGGGAAGAAGAACATGTACTTCTTTCAAATTCTTTACAATACAGAGCAATAAAAGGCACACAGTAAACACTTAAGTACTTTCAGAATTCAGAACCTTTGATAGTACTGTGAAAATCTTGACAATCCATAAATGCTTCTTTAGGCACATTTTTTATTTTAAGAACTCACACCAGAAGGCCGGGTGCAGTGGCTCACGCCTGTAATCCCAACACTTTGGAAGGCCGAGGCAGGCAAAATCACCTGAGGTCAGGAGTTCGAGACCAGCCTGGCCAACACAGTGAAATCCCTTTTCTACTAAAAGCTACAAAAATTAGCCAGGCATGGTGGTGGGCACCTGTAATCCCAGCTACTTGGGAGGCTGAAGCAGGAGAATCACTTGAACTCAGGAGGCAGAGGTTGCAGTGAGCAGAGAGCGTGCCACGGCACTCCAGCCTTGGTGAGAGAGCAAAACTCCGTCTCAAAAAAAAAAAAAAAAAAATTCACACCACATAAAAATAAAACAGAAGAGACAGATCTTCTCCACAAAAGCAAAAACTGAAACTTTCTGAATTCTATCATCATTTTACCATCATTTTGTGCATCATAAAAGGCATGCAAAAAAATTTGTTCCCTATTTTAAAATTACATTCAAAGAAAAGCCTTTAAATTGTGTTTATTCCTTTTTAAATGCAACCCAAAAAAGCCAGATCTTTCAATAAGGCACAAAAATTAAATCTTAGATTTTTTGCTTTAAAAACAGTATTCTAAGGCACTATTTTTCAAATTTAACTTCCAACAACCTCAACTGGAAAAGAAATTAATACAAGTATTTTTAAAAATAACAGGGCCAGATGCAGAGGCTTATGCCCGCAATCTCAACACTTTGAAAGGCCGAGGAAGGTGAATTGCTTGAGGCCAGGAGTTCGAGACCAGCCTGGGATACATGGTAAAACCCCATCTCTACTAAAATTACAAAAATTAGCTAGACATGGTGCTGCATGCCTGTAGTTCCAGCTACTGCGGTGTCTGAAACGCAAGAATCGCTCGAACCTGGGAGGCAGAGGTTGCAGTGAGCCAAGATCACACCACTGCATTCCAACCTGGGCAACAGGGCAAGACTGTCTCTAAATAAATTAATTAAATTAAATAAAAACACATATATCACATCCAAATTAAGTTTGACAAATGCTGCATACTCTATCACTTTCTGAAGGAATCTTTAATACAAACAGATTTTGGTTCTGGTAAGTTCTATAATAAAATTATTTGAAATTTCACTTGAGCATACAGCACCCTTCTCACAGCACTTATTAATACCTCAGAGAGCTATGTGTCTCAGAACATAGTTTATTTACCTTTTTTTTTTTTTTTTGAGACAAAGTCTCACTCTTGTCAGCCTGACTGGAGTACAGTGGCGATCTTGGCTCACTGCCACTTCTGCCTCTGGGGTTCAATCAATTCTCATACCTCAGCCTCCCAAGTAGCTGGGATTGCAGGCGCATGCCACCACACCCAGCTAATTTTTGTATTTCTAATAGAGACGGGGTTTCACCATGTTGGCCAGGCTGGTCTCAAACTCCCGACCTCAAGTCATCTGCCTGCCTTGGCCTCCCAAAGTGCTGGGATTACAGGCGTGAGCCACCACACCCATCGCTGTGCTAAGGGATATACAATAACCTTAAAACTTTAAAGCTCCACAGAAGAAATATTACCTGAATCATAGATGATCCTCTTTTTCTTGCTTGGTTGTTTCTGTTTGAAGTCATCCTCTTTACGGGAGCTATTTACCTATAAACATCACAGTATAATTAGAACATAAATAAGCCTATATAACTATCCTTTTTTTCTCGTTAGATTTGGGCTCAGTCATTTTAAATAGGAGGAATTTTGCATACCCGCCCCCCACCAGAAGACATTTTTCAATGTCTAGAAACATTTTTACTTGTCACAAATAGGGGTAGGGAGGTTTACTGTCATCTAACAAGTAGATCAGGGATGCTATTAAACATCCTACAATGCATAGGACTACTCCTCCACAACAAAGAATTCTCCAGCCTAAACCGTCAGTAATATACCCTTATTGGCTAAAAATAGGCCAGACAGTAACTGTACCACAATGGGAAAAAAAGAATTACAGAAAACACTATAACATTATTCAGCTCCACTTTCAACACTAACCTATGTATACAACAAAGAATAAAAGGATATCAGATATTACAAGGCAAGTGCTTCCTGAAAATGAAAAGACAGAAACAGGAATAAATGCTAAGCTAGTGGCCTACCACTGCCAATGCCCCTTAGGAAACTAAATAAAACCGGCCATGCGTAGTGGCTCATGCCTGTAATCCCAACACTTTGGGAGGCCAAGGCAGGTGGATCACCTGAGGTTGGGAGTTCAAGACCAGCCTGACCAACATGGAGAAACTCTGTCTCGACTAAAAATACAAAATTAGACAGGTGTGGTGGTGCATGCCTGTAACCCCAGCTACTCGGGAGGCTGAGGAAGGAGAATCACTTGAACCTGGGGGGCAGAGGTTGCAGTGAGCCAAGATCACACCACTGCACACCAGTCTGGGGAACAAGAGCGAAACTCCATCTCAAAAAAAAAAAAAATACTAAATAAAACCAATGCAAAAGGTATTATTTATATTTTATAGTTAAACATCACATTTCTAACATATTCAAATTTTCTCAGAAAGCATCAAGAAGTCAGACAGTGAAAAAACTGATTATAATCAATTATTAGGTAGAAATAGAAACTATTCCTATCCATTACAATAAAACTTCAAAAACATAAGATCAACTAGCTTGCAAGAAAATGGATCAAATGAGCAATTATAATTTACATATACCACTGGATCAAGGACAGAGTTAGAATCAACTACAACTCAAAAGTAAGAGAAGAAGGTATCAAGGAAAGGAGAAAGCCACAGAAAGAAATCCCAAATTCTGCCTGTAAACTTTACCCAAATCTCTGGCTATCTCCTGAATTATACATATGTGGAACAACTCCTAGTGCTTAGCTAAGGTTAAAAGAATTGAATAAAGATTTCAGCTGCTGCCCATTACAGGGTAGGCAAGAGTTTAGAGCTTAAGTACACCAAGATCAATGCCTGATAAACCAAAATAATCAACACTCTTTGAAGGAATATAACAGGATCCAAAGTTCCTACACTGTATCATTCACAATGTCCAAGATAATCCAAAACAACTAGAACATACAAATAAAGAGGAAATGTGACCTGCTGAGGTTAATTTTATGTGTGAACCTGACTGAACCACAAGATGTCTACACATTTGGTCAAACATCACATTGGGTGTTTCTGCAAGGATGTTTTCGAATGAGCTTAATATTTAAATCAATAGACTAAGTAAAGCATATTGCCCTTCCTGATGGCATTAAGTCTCATCCAATCAGCTGAAAGTCTGAAAAGAACAAAGGCTAATCCTCTCCTGAATGAGAGGGAATTCCTCCTGCCTGACTGCCTTAGAGCTGGGACATCTCTGGGATACTTTCTTCCTGCCTTTGGACTCCCAGTTAAAACATCAGGGTACCAATTCTTGGTAATAAATCTCTCTATGTATACACACATGCATCCTATTGCTTCTGTTTCTCTACAGAACTCTGATTGTATAATACAGATTTTGGTACCAAGAAATGGAGTACTACTGTAAAAAAAAAACCAAACAAACAAAAACAAAACCTAAAATACAGAAGTGACTTTGGAACTGGGTAGAGGCTAGATGTCTTCTAGCATGTAGAAAAAGCCTAGACTGCCAGGAAGGAACTGCTGGTAGAAATATGAACTTTAGATGTAATAACAATGAGAGCTGATGAAGAAAAGAGAAGAGCTAGAGAAGAAGCCTCTTTCATCTCAGAGCATATATCATCATGAACAGAATGCTGGTATAAATATGAATGTTAAAGGCCAGCCTGGTGAGGTTTTACATGGAAATGAGAAAGAGATTATTGGAAATTGGAAGAAAGGCAATTCTTACTATAAAGTGGCACAGAACTTGGCCAAGTTGGGTCCTAGTGCTTTGTAAAAGATGGAACTTGTGAACGATGAAATCACATATTTAGCTGAGGAGATCTCAAAGCAAAATCTTGAAGATGCAGCCTGAGTCCTTCTGACTGCTTGTAGTCAAATGCAAAAGGGAAGAGATGAACTACAGAAGAAACTGTTCAGCAGAAAGGGACCAGAGCTTGAAGGTTTGTAAAATTCTCAGCCTGTTCATATTTCAAAAAATGATAAAGCATGTTCTAGGCCGGACGTGGTGACTCACACCTGTAATCTCTGCACTTTGGGAGGTCGAGGCAGGCGGATCACTTGAGGTCAGGAGTTTGAGACCAGCCTGGCCAATATGGTGAAACCCCAACTCTAGCAAAAATACAAAAAATTAGCTGGACAGTGGCACGCGACCACAGTCCCAGCCACTCAGCAGGCTGAGGCAGGAGATTAACTTCAATCTGGGAGACGGAGGTTGCAGTGAGCTGAGATCACGCCACTGCACTCCAGTCTGGGCAACAGAGCAAGACTGTTTCAAAAAAAAGAAAAGAAAAGAAAAAGCATGTTCTAAAGAGAATAGCAAGGATGTAGCTGGAGTATCACTTGATAAAGAGATTACGGGATTATACAAGCAAAAACACTGTCAGTTTGAATTGAAGAGGATGGAGAAAGGACAAAATGAAAGAAGGCTGTCAGACTTCTGAGATTCCAGTGACAGGACAACAGGGCTATTTTTCAAGAAAAGGGAAGAATGGTCCCAAAAGCAATTCAGAGATCAGCCATCAGAACTGCCTCTTCAAAAGATGGAGCTTGGTTTCAACAGATGAGACAGCCACCACCCAAAGCCTTGTGGGCAGGACGGCCCAGCAGAGCTGCAGAAGCAGGACAGCTGCCTATGGTTGTGGGGGTAGAGCCACTAACCCAGTGGGTCTAAAGGGCAGGGCATCAAGCCAAAGAGTATTATTTTCAAGGCTTATGTTCTGATGGAATTTGCCGTGCTAGGTTTTGGACTTGTTTGGGATCCATCACCCCTCCCTGCCTTCTGATTTCTCCTCTTTGGAATGGTAATGTCTACCCTATATGTCTGTTCTACTATCATATTTTAGAAGCACGTTCCTTATCTGGTTTCACAGGTTCACACCTAGAGAGAAATTTTGCCTCAGGATGATTCATACCTCAAGTATCACCCATATCTGATTTGGATGATATTTACATGAGACTGTGGACTTCAGACTTGATGCTGAAATAAGACTTCGGGGGCTGTTATGATGGAATGAATGTATTTTGCATGCAAGGAGGACATAAATTTTGAGTGGCCATGGATGGAATGTTATGTCCTGAATGTCTGTGTCCCCAAAATTCACATGTTGAAGCCATAACCTTCGGGGTGGCTATATTTGGAGGTGGAATCTCTAAACAAGTAATTAAGGATAAATAAGGTCATAAGGGTGGGGCTCTGAACTGACAGGATTCGCATTCTGTAAGAACAGACACCAGAGTGCTCATTCAATTTCTCTCTCTCTCTCTCTTTCTCCACCAGAGTGCTCAATCTCTCTCTTCACCCAAATGCACTAAGAAGAGACTATGTGAGGATACAGCAAGAAGGGAGCCATGTACCAACCAGGAAAAAGGCCCTCACCAGACACCTAATCAGCCAGTACCATCTACTTTACAGTATTTTGTTATGGTGGCCTGAACTAACATATGACCCAAAGAATCAGGACAAAAAGCACTTAATGAAGACCAATCTTGATATAACCCAGATGTCAGCATTAGCAGACAAGAATTTTCAAGCAGCTACTAGGCCGGGCGTGGTGGCTCATGCCTGTAATTCCAGCACTTTGGGAGGCCGAGGCAGGTAGATCACCTGAAGTCGGGAGTTTGAGACCAGCCTGGCCAATATGGAGAAACCTCAACTCTCCTAAAAATACAAAATTAGTCGGGCATGGCGGCGCATGCCTGAAATCCCAACTACTCAGGAGGCTGAGGCAGAAGAATCGCTTGAATCCAGGAGGCAAAGGTTGTGGTGAGCCAAGATCATGCCACTGCACTCCAACCTGGGCAACAAGAGCAAAACTCCGTCTCAAAATAAAAAATAAAAAATAAAGCAGCTATTATAATTACACTCAAGGACATAAAAGAGAGAAATTAAAGTTATGAAAAAGAAACAAATGAAAATTCTAGAATTGAAAAATACAATATATAAAATAAAAATTCACTAGATAGCCTTAACAGCAAATTGGAGATAAAAGAAGAATCAATGAACCTAAAGACGGAAAAAGAGAAAGTACTCAATCTGAAAAAAAGACTGATAAAAATGAACAAGGCTCAATGATCCGTGAGATAATATCAAAACTCTTATTAATGTTTATGTAATTGTAGTCCAAGAAGAGGAGAATGAGGCAGAAAAAATAATTAAAGAAATTATAGCAAAAAGTTCCCAATTTTGATAAAAGATATAAATTTACAGATTAAAGAAGCTCAGAAACCCAAAACAGGATAAACACAAGAAAACCACACTCAGGTATGCCATAGTCAAACTGCTGAAAACCAAAAATGTAAAAATTCTTTAATGAACCATGAGAAAAACAACACACATGAGAAAACAATATGAATGACTGGAGGCATCTCATCAGACAAACTGGAAGCCGAAAAACAGTGGAACATCTTTAAAAGGCTTAAATTTTTTAAAACACGGTCACCCCAAAATTCCATACCCAGCAAAAATAACCTTCAAGAATGAAGGCAAAATACAGGCATTTTCAGATTAACAGAAACTTAGCAGAGGTTTATCACCAACAGACCTACACTACAAAAAAATGCTAAAGAAAATTCTTCAAATTGAAAGAAAATGATGTTAGATGAAAACTCAGATCTTCAGTGAGAAATGAACAGCATCAGAAATAGCAAATACGTGCGTAAAATAAAAAGAGCAATTTTTGCCTTAATTTTTTTTAAAAATGCACATCTTTTTAAAGCAAAATTACCTTGAATTGTGCAGTATTAACATATGTAGGTGTAATATATATGACAACTAGGGCGCGAAGAATGGAGTGATGGTGGCAGATGGACTTGCAGAGTTGCAAAATGGTTACACTTTACATAAAGTGAAATAATATTAATTCAAATATACTACTGCAGCCATGGCCTACTTTCCATATTGACATTATATCTTAGTTTCTCTCAGGCCCATAGAGAACAGGGGAAAGAATAAAGCTTTCCTCCAAAGCCTTCCGTCACCAGAAATCTCACACCATCCACCTGAGCATAGGGGTTCATGTCTCTGTGAGTAAACTTTGGTCTTAAAATGCAAAGTGTTAACAACTAAAAGGGGTTATATCTCTACATCAAGAAAACATCAAGCTATGAATGTAGTAAGTTACATTAATTAGAATTAGTGGCCAGGCATGGTGGCTCACACCTGTAATCACAACATCTTGGGAGACAAGGGCAGGAGGATTACTTGAGGCCAGGAGTTCAAGACCAGCCTGTCTAACATAATTGAGACCCCATCTCTATCAAAAAATAATTTTTTTTAATTAGCCAGGCACAATGGCAAGCACCTGTAGTTCTGGCTACATGGAAGGCAAAGCCAGGAGGATCATTTGAGGCCAGGAGTTCGAGGCTGCAGTGGGCTGTGATCACGATACTGCACTCCAGCCTGGGCAACAGGGCAAGATCCTGTCGAAAGAAGAGAAGAGAAGAGGAAAAGAAAAAAGGAAAGAGAAAAGAAAAAAGAAAAGAGAAAAGAGAAAAGGAGAGAGAGAGAGAGAGAGAGAGAACAAACGAACGAACAGCCTTATTACTCTTTTTCTTCCTCTGAGTTGAAACCTGCTTCCTCTGAGTTGATATCAAGCTTCCCAAGATATAAAGTATAAGAACTGAGGCTGGGCATGGTGGCTCATGCCTGTACTCCCAGCACTTCAGGAGGCCGAGGGGGGAGGATTGCAAGGCCAGGAGATCGAGACCATTGTGGCTAACACGGTGAAACCCCATCTCTACTAAATATGCAAAAAATTAGCCAGGCGTGGTGGCGGGTGTCTATAGTCCCAGCTACTCAGGAGGCTGAGGCAGGAGAATGGCGTGAACCTGAGAGGCAGAGCTTGCAGTGAGCCGAGATTGCGTCACTGCACTCCAGCCCGGGCAACAGAGCAAGACTACGTCTCAAAGAAAAAAAAAGTATAAGAACTGAGCTTATTTTACATTTCATACAATGCAAAATTATATCCAGAAAACTAACCTTGATTTCCTTTATTCCTTTCTTTGCTTTTAAAGTTTCTTCATCAGACTTTGTTTTCTCATTCTTCTTTACTGTTTCAGTTACAAGTTTCTTTCCACTTGGTATTACTCCAAAGAATTTCCGAATGTCCTAAAAGCAAAAAAAAACAGGAGATTCATGAATAAACATTAACTGCATAAAATTATAATTTCAATTGTAAGATGGGACAGCTTTATATACACACTGGGTTACCCTGAGTAATTTCTCCCTATCAAGATAGTTCCATGAATACAGTAGCTTTCTTTTCATGTGCACAAGTTAACTGATAACTTTACCTGAGTTAAGAATAATTTGTCAGCCGGGCACAACGGCTCACGCCTGTAATCCCTCCACCTTGGGAGGCCAAGGCAAGTGGGTCACTTGAGGTCAGGAGTTTCAGACCAGCCTGGCCAACATGGTGAAACTCCATCTCTACTAAAAACACAAAAAATTAGCTGGGCATGGTGGTGACAGGTGCCTGTAATTCCAGCTACTTGGGAGTCTGAGGGAGCAGAATTGCTTGAACCCAGGAGGCAGAGGTTGCAGTGAGCCCAGGTCACACCACACTGCACTCCAGCCTGCCTGGGAGACATAGCGAGACTCCGTCTCAAAAAAAAAAAAGAATAATTGGTCTAATGAAAAGTAATATAAATTCTCAGAATCAGGCCAAAAACAGACCAAAATAAGCAAGTGATATTTTTGCTAATGACAGCAGAGTTACTAAAGAGGCAAGTAGCAGTTACTTATTATTGATCATGCATGCACATACACATCCACATCCCATCATCCCAGGCACAACTGGGGAGAAGACAAAGTTGGAGAATATGATCCTTGTCGGTGGAACGTATACTCCAGTCTGAAAGAAGAATAACTCTCACAACCCTAATCATTCCTGGCAACTAAAAACCTCCTAATTGTTTTCCTTTATATGATTGTTCAACATTCTGAAGAAAAAAAAACCTTTGATGCTTATTACAATACGCTCTTTAATCACTCCCTTGTTAAACCACAGAATTCAAATTAATCATACTGAAACATTTACAATGTAATTGTATTTAATTACAATTAAAATCAATCACTTTTCCTAACCTTTGCATAGTCTTCCCCACCTCTCTAAAATTTAGTTTAAGAAATTGCGGTATAGAGGAAAGGGAACAGACCTTAGAATCGGAAGCCTTAATTCAAATCTGTGCTCTAGTGTTTTCTACCTGTGTGATTTTGGGCAAGCTACTGTGTATTATCTGTTTTCTCCTCAGTAAAGTGGGACTAATACTGACCCTTTATGTGGATTAATTATGCATCTACCACAATTCTGGCTCAGTAAAAATCTTCCCCTCATCTCATTTCTGAACTATCATCCCTTTATATTACTGAAACACTCCGTTTATCATTATCTCTGCTTATAGAAAAGGGTATAAGGAAGAAAAAATAATGAGAACATAGGATCTGAATTCCAAAGAACTGGGTTTAAGAACCACCTGTATCATTTTCCCTCTTCCTATTCTTGATAGTTGTAATCACCAGTTTTTATCACTTTTTATCCTTATAGCCTACCTCTCTTTATTGCATGAGAGAAATGCCTGCAAAAGTACTTTGTAAAGTTTAAAAGTTAGCAATTATTTCCTAGATCCTGACAATAATTGTTATACTCTTACAATGTCAAAAATCCCAGATAAGTGTGAAACACACACACAAACACACACACACAAGTAACTTTGTGGCTAAGCCAATAAACAAAGCAGATAATTGAGGTACATAGCATGTTAAATAATTTTTTTAAAAGGTCAGGCAAGGTAGTTCTTGCCTGTAATCCCAGCACTTTGGGAAGTCGATGCAAAACAATCACTTGAGGCCAGTTCAAGACCAGCCTGGTCAACATGGTGAAAACCCATTTCTACCAAAAATCTGAAAATTAGCCAGGCATGGTGGCACACGCCTATAATCCAACTACTCAGAAGACTGGAGCACAAGAATCGCTTGAACCTGGGAGGCAGAAGTTGCAGTGTGGTGAGATTGCACCACTGCACTCCAGCCTAGGTGACACAATGAGACTTTGTCTCAAAAATAAGTAAATAAATAATTTTTTTTTTTTTTGAGACGGAGTCTTGCTCTATCGCCCAAACTGGAGTGCAGTGACCGGATCTCAGCTCACTGCAAGCTCCGCCTCCTGGGTTCACACCATTCTCCTGCCTCAGCCTCCCGAGTAGCTGGGACTACAGGCGCCTGCCACCTCGCCCGGCTAATTTTTTGTATTTTTAGTAGAGACGGGGTTTCACCGGGTTAGCCAGGATGGTCTCGATCTCCTGACCTTGTGATCGGCCCGTCTCGGCCTCCCAAAGTGCTGGGATTACAGGCTTGAGCCACCGCGCCCGGTCAAAATAAACAAATATTTAAAAAAAGGATTAAAGACTTCTCTGGCTTTACATATATCCTCTTTTGTAAATCTCCTAGTTACAAATCCATCCTAATTAAATCTAAGTTTAAAAGATACTGCTTACAGAATGGGTGTCTCAGCTATGAAACTGAGACATCTGTGTCAGATGCTAAAGAGGAGAAGAACAATAAAGAAAACCACCCTCTTTCCTATAATTACAGAGAATCAAGTCTGAGGCTGACAACTACTTTATTGCTTCTGGAGCAAATGAGTTTCACATCAGTTTCACTTTTTTGAAATTACACAGTGATTCTTCACTCAAACAATCGTGACTGTTCTAAGTGAGCTCATAGATGGAAACATTTTAAAAATAAAAATAAAAAGTAGTGATTGTTTAAACACATACACACAGAGAAAGACAGAATGATAGTGCATGTGTGCCATGGAAATAACCAAACTGTAAATTAATAACCTGGTTAAAGCAAGTGGTGGTTTTCAACCTGTTTTCAGACCAAAAATGCTTAAAACTGAGAAGAGAAAGAAAACAAAATGTAATTCAGAACATCCAGCTACTGGTAACATTGAGTTGTCTGGGTTTTGTCTGCACAAAAATCTGCACTGCCACTCCTTAGCACTGTTACACCATTTCCTCCCTACGTAATTATTTCCACTCACATCCTCCTTTCTTTCCTTTTGCATTACTTTACCCTACTCCCCTAAACTACCCCATACTCTGATGGCAACGTAAGAGTTAAAGAAATTGCAGCATCCTAACCTAACTTAGTATACACCAAAAATCAAAGTTTTTAGAAAATAATTTTCATCAGAATGGAAGTCATTTTACTCATACTTTTTTAGAACTATCTCCAGTGTGAGCAGTCATCTGGGGTGTAAACATCTAAGAGGCAAAGGTCAGCAATTTGTCCTTAATTTATAGTGTGTGACTTCACCTGACTCTTCCAATTAACATTTGCTGTCCAGTGTTCTAGACCTTCAAAGACTTCATGAAATGCAGAAAAACAAGTCTAACTCCCAAATAATGGATCTAAACATTTCTCTTGCCTGCATAGAATAATTCTTGTTGAGCATATGAGTGGAGAAAGGAACAAATGTTTGTATTTATTTTTCAATCTTGGCAAGTGGAAGGCCCTCAAAGCAGAACATCAAGGCCAGAAACCATCCCTAAAGAAAGGTAGATTTTACTACACAAAAATAAAAGTGCCATAAACAAAGTTAAAATGCAAGCAACAGAGCTGGGCACTGTGGTGCACACCTATAGTCCCAGCTACCAGAGAGGCTGAGACAAGAGGATTGCTTGAACCCAGGAGTTCAAGTTCAACCTGGACAACATAGTGAAACTATCTCAAAAAAAAAAAAAAAAAAAAAAAAAAAAAAGCAACTAACTTAAAAATATCTACAACAGGCTGGACGCAGTGGCTCACGCCTGTATTTCCAGCACTTTTGAGGCCGAGGCAGGTGGACTGCTTGAGACCAGCAGTTTGAGACCAGCCTGGCCAACATAGCAAAACCCTGTCTCTACTAAAAATACAAAAATTGGTCAGGTGTGGTGGTGCACGCCTGTAATCCTAGCTACTCAGGGGGCTGAGGCACAAGAATCCCTTGAACCTTGGAGGCAGAGGTTGCAGTGAGCCGAGAATGCCCCTCTGCACTCCAGTCTGGGCAACAGAGCGACACTCGTCTCGAAAAAAAAAAAAATATATATATATATATATATCTCTCTCTCTCTCTCTACAACAGGCCAGGTGTGGTGGCCCACGCCTGTAATCCCAACACTTTGAGAGGCCAAGGCGGGAGGATCATTTGAGCCCAAGAGTTCAATACCAGCCCGGGCAACACAGGGAGACCCCCATCTCTACAAATTTAAAAAAAAAAAAATCAGCTTGGTGTGGTGACACATGCCTGCATGCCTGTAGTCCCAGCTACTCAGAAGGCTGAGGTGGGAGGATCACTTGTGCACCAAGAGTTTGAGGCTGCAGTGAGCCATGACCATCAAACCACAGTACTCTAACCCGGCCAACAGAGCAATACCCTATCTTAAAACAAACACACACACACACACACACACACACACACACACACAAAACATGTAAAAAAGGGTTCCTACAAATCAATAAAAGATAACCCAATCAATAGAAAAATAAATAAAAGCTCCTAATAGGCAAAGTATAAAATAAATGCAAATAACCAACAAACACAAAAAATACTAGACGTCACAAATAAGCAGATACATTAAAACTTGATCATTTTCCCCTAAGTTTTAAAAGACTGATAATGCCCATATCTGTCAAGGATGTGAGGAAACAGATGCTCACGCACTCTTACTGCTGACAGAAGTAAAAACTGGTATAACCTCGGCCGGGTACGATGGCTCATGCCTGTAATCCCAGCACTTTGGGAGGCTGAGGCGGGTGGATCATGAGGTCAAGAGATCGAGACCATCCTGGCCAACATGGTGAAACCCCATCTCTACTAAAAATACAAAAATTAGCTGGACATGGTGGCGCACACCTGTAGTCCCAGCGACTTGGGAAGCTGAGGCAGGAGAATCGCTTGAACCCAGGAGGTAGAGGTTGCAGTGAGCGGAGATCATGCCACTGCACTCTGGCCTGGTGACAGAGCGAGACTTCATCTTAAAAAAAAAACTGGTATAACCTTTATGGAAGGCAATCTAGCCACACTTATCAAAATTTTAAAGGTACATACCCTTTGCCCAGTA